TTTTTTTTTTTTGCCAGAAGTCAATGTGTGTCTGCAAGATTTGCTTGTCTTAACCCTTCAACCCCAAAGAGTGATTGGCATCTAATTTCTCCTTATAATGTCAACCCTGAATCAAACATTAAGGTCATGAGAATAAAGGAAGTGATCACCAACTTAAGATGGTCTTGATTGTTAGACAGTTCTCCTTGTCAGCACCTTAGGAAATGTTTAGAGAACAGTATGGAGAATATGCCTACTGATGTTAGGGTGTAACGGGTTAATGAGAAATATCATGTCTTATTCTCTGGTTTAATCGCTGACCTCAGAGATCTGGTTCAGTTTGGAAAGGTGAGGGGTAACTGTATATCTCTCTGTGTATATGAACATGTGCTGTGTGTACTCACTTTGTCCTTCCCTCCCCAGGATGAGAAGTGCGAATTTAATGCATCATCAGTTGGTGCCGATGACACTGGATATGTTGACGTTAAACATGGAGATGAGGATGCCTTGAAGGTTGCTGTTGCCACAGTTGGACCAATCTCTGTAGCAATTGATGCTGGACACTCGTCTTTCCAATTCTACAAGGAGGGTGTTTATAATGAGCCTTATTGCAGTAGTATTGACCTGGATCATGGTGTGCTGGCTGTGGGGTATGGAACAACTGCTGATGGGAAAGACTACTGGCTTGTAAAGAACAGGTAGGTTTATTTTGGGTGTGGCCTGAAGGGGTACTCAACTTTTTCTGCAACCAATTCATATGGAAATATAACAGTGTCCCCAGCCTAATCTGAGGAATATCTGGTGTTATAATCTGCCATTTCTGGTGTTCAAAGTTGTTTCACAATTTTTGAACATCAGGTGTTACAATAAAAGCAAGTTATCAGCAGTCTGGTTAGATTGCAAGCAGGCTCTCATGTATGGGTGTTGCCCTATGACACAGCCTCCTTGTCATCTCTCACCAGCCACTAATGGAAAAGGTTCTGAGATGCTTGAACATGTACAAAAGATATAGATATTGTAGAGTGGCAGCAGGTGTCAAAAAAACCTTAACCCTTTACATCATAACATCAAAATTCATATTCTCCATTCTGTTCTCCGTACAATTACTGAGGTGCTGACAACGAGAATTTGTCTAACAATCAGGAATTTCTTTAGTTGGTGATCATCTTCTTATTCTTTTGACATCAATAAGTGATTCAGTGGTGATATTGTAAAGAGAAATTAGATGTCAGTCACTCTTAGGGGTTATAGGGTTAAGTTCACAATTGTGTTAAAAGATCTACTGAATTTTTTTTCCTTGTGCAGCTGGGGAAAAAAGTGGGGCATGGATGGGTACATTATGATGACAAGAAACAAAGACAACCAATGTGGAATTGCCACAGATGCGAGTTATCCACTGGTCTAAAAACCTGTTGTACTTCTTGAACTGGTCTTGAATAAAGAGATGCAACAGAAAACAGTTTTTATATTCAGAAGCTTAGTTGAGTTGTTCAATTTATAGTTTACTGTATTGTGTAGATGTAGTTTTTTTATAGCTGATAAATAAGTTAGGTTTTAAAAGACTTCTATCCAGTTCTTACTTTCAATTGACAGGTCAAAGGTGACATCTCTTGCTTAATACGTCATTAGTGTCTTGTTGACCTACAAATTTTTGTAATCTCAACAAAACATAACATTGGATTTTAATAGTTACTAGTGGATAGTTCAATATTGCTAATGGTATTTTACACAGTTAATAGTTGTATAGTTGCTAGAAAAAGCTCTAAAGATTTGATTGAAGGTTAACAAACAGCTTAGATATTAAACAGTAAGGGAAGTGTCACCACCAGTTTGTCAATATTCAACTCTTATTCATGCCTGTATTTATTATAAATATATATTTATAATATCTGTGGGTTAATTATTGTGTAAATGGTGTTGGGATCGTTTAAGCAATTGCCTAGTTGTATTTTTAGTTCATAATGCTGTAAATTTTAATTGTGTGTGATTGAAATTATCATTAAAAACTTGATTTGTACTTGTATCAATGAAAGTGTGTTGGTAATTAGACAAGTTGTACTCATCTCATTCACCCTTTAACTCTCAAGATCTGATTGTTAATTGTCCCCTCTAGCTGCTACACATTTCCCTGAAAATTTGTTACAAAAATTTGGTGTTTGATCACTCTAACAACTTAAATATTAGCTGTTGCATGTAAATCCTTAAAGACTTGATTACAAGAGGCTTCAGGAAAGAAGAAGTTCAACAAATCACAAAACTATTTGCCATGTGCAGAAGGAGATCAAGGTTCTGTAGCAAGTAAGCATACATAATGCATGTACTATTTATGCCTTCACAGGTCATATGATATGAACCAGAGCAGCAATCTTACATCATTCTGCCTCAAAGAAGTTCAATTTGTAACCTCTGTGTCTGCATATGGTCTTCCACTGCATGTTGCAGACTTGTGATAAAACTAATAATCATAGGTGCACAGAATTTGACCGAAAATTGCTCAATTTCTGACAAATGTCTTTTTATAATTCATGAACTTCAACAGCAAGTTTTGCCTTTGAGGCTCTGGTTAATAACAATACTTTCAGTTAAATACTTGGTGTACATCTCAATTGTCAATTCTAATGCATCAACAAATAAATACATCATTTGATAAATACCATACACTATAACTATTATTCTTAAAATACATGAAAAAAAATTCTAAATTCTAGTTGGCGATACTGAAGGAGTAAACCATATCTAGTTTTTTCTTCCATATCATCACATGACCTAATATTACTAATTTGTTAAAGATTATGTCCCAAAGTGTCATAATACAGTATAAAAACGTTACGTGCTGAAATGAGTGGGTTGAAATTTCACTTAACACTCAGAGGAAGCGTCACATAACATCACAACATAGAGCACAGTTTTACTCCTTCTTGGGTTTGGTGTCGCCCTTTTTACAGCACACTCTACACAAACACTTACATATGAATCTTATCACCAGGACAACTAAGGTTACTATAGTAACAAGGAAAGCTATGACGTCAAGTAAGTAGTACTGGTACCAAGGAATGTCAAACACTTGAGCTCTGAGGTGTCTGGCTCCACCATGTCTGACTACATACTCAATCCAGTTGCAGGTTTCTTGTAGAGGTGTGTAAGGATGATCCTTCAAAAGCCCAGAGATGTGCATTGCTTTTGTTTTAAATCTGAAGAAAAATCGAGTTTCTATGTAAAGGATTTTAATAAAATAATGAAACTTTTTTCATGTTAACCAGCAGCAATGAATCATTACAGTCAATTCAAAGCCACATTTAGCCCAAACACTGCGACAGTCACTTTCTTAATAAGAGGTGCATGCTATTCGACTTATGACAAAAGAAATTTCAATCGAGTGTTGAGAGTAATCTGGAATTATTTGGTTTGCTTTTTTGCTGTAAGATTGGTCTGGAAAACTTTCACTACTTTCTCAACCAATCTGATTCAAAACTAAAACCAACTGCAACTTGGTCAATGCCATTTTGCCCCTCTTAGAGCTGTTTACGTGTTTTTTCTCTTTAAGTTCTCATTGACTGCTCCTGACTTTTTCCTATAATCTGATTGTCCACTGTGATTACTTTGGTTTTGGTTTTGCAACACCCAACCAAAAAGTGCTCTCTACGGCAGTCATGATTCAGAACTAAACACAGTGGCTACCTGATAAACTTGAAAAAACATTTAACACTTAAAATATTCTGCAATGATCACATTCAGGGATGTGGACATGTAAGTAATTTCCCCCAAATCACACACTTATTAGCATCATTTCATACAATTAACTAATATTTCAAGGCCTAATTGGCCAGCAACAAGTTCTTTTTAAACCACTTTTGACAAATATAGCATACTACATACCGTGGTTCCCCTACAACTTTCTCAATTGTTTCAAACAGTTGTTGCGTACTGCAGTTTTTATGATCAACAATTAAACCAAGGCCAAAATGTTCAGCTTTCTTAGCATTGCTATCCTGGTCTCCACCCAATGGAAAGGCTACCACAGGGACCCCATGGTATGCTGACTCATACAAACTGTTATGTCCCACATGGGAGACAAAAGCTTTGATGTCCTTGTGTGCTAAGAGATCATTCTGAGGTAACCATTGAACTGCTTTGATGTTTGCTTTAAGGGAGGATGGGATATAACCTGCCAGAAAGAAAAACCAACCATTTTAAAGACATACCAGCATTTAATCTTACAAGTGAGCAATTCAAGGGGAGGGTTTGTTTTCTAATCAGGAGTATTTCAACTCTCACTGGACAGAGTGCTATTCTATCACACATATTAACCAAAGTAAATCATCAAGTTCTCCGAATAAGTTTCTTGGTATCTAACAGACTGACTAACCAACTCTACTGATCAAGTATCTGTCTAAATATCTGAGTGACTGACTTACTTTCTGAGTGACTGACTAACAGACAGACAGACTGACTTACCTACCAACTAAATGACAGACTAAACAACTGTCAAACAGACAGACTGCCTGACTAGCTGACAAACTGAACAACTGACAAAAAGACCAACCAACTGACTCAAAGACTGATTGACTGACTAGTTGAGCATTCAATGACTGACTGAGTAGAGTAGATTGATCAATGCTCCAACAGATTATCTCTGATGACAAACTGAAGGATGGATAGAAAGATAGAAAGAACAAATAAATGGCCGTTGTATAAAATATTCAGTTGGTAAACAACACAACAAGAACAAAACAACAGAACAAGACGAGGCAAGTTTTGAGCACCAAAGGCACAAGCCGCCAAGGGGGGGTCTGCAGGCATGCAGAAAATTTTTAAATCTAAAGGCTCAGAAATGCTCTTTTAAACATTTCCTGTGGCATTTTTCTTCAGAAAAGTCAATCTTGGGCTGAAATCAAGACAAGGTAATTGCCCTGTCTTGAGTCATGCTGGCTACGACCCTGCACAATTCAAAATTCCTTTTAAAAACTGCAGATACCTTTAAGTCTCCACACAACTTTTTGTTTCAGTTTTCCAAATGCATCAGCTAGCATATCCACTTTCTCTCTTGGAAGGATTGAAGCCACCATTGAACCAAAGGAAACAATAATAAAACCATGACCCCCTGAATTATTGACAAACTCTTCTAAATCAGGGGGGAGGGGTTGAGTATCTTTGACATTTAGTGGTCCAACCATAACATGACCTAGTATTGAATAAATATAACAAAGATTCCTCTTCAATTAATAAAGATCTTATCAATCATATTTCAACTTTTGACCATACTTGAGTTTTAATTGGGGTTGAAAACAATTCTGGGAAAGTATAACCTCCTCTGGCTACAGTTAAAGATATTGTAGAAAGCTTAGTTCTCAATTGTCTTTTGAGAGCCAGAAATAAAGGTTATAGAGTTCTGGTTCCAGCTATTAACCTAACTCTTTTTTACTCAAGATCAATTAGCAAGCACTCATGGGAACCCTTTTAAGATCTTCACAATTAATAACTGAGTGTCATATCTTGATGAAACACCAAATTCTCTCATCTAATTTTTAAGGAGGTGTCTTACAGCCAAATGGGAGAATTACAATATGCAACAAACCTTAACCCTTCAACTCCCACAAACAAATAACATGTAACTTTTCCTTCCTATAATATCCATACATTAAATCCTGTACATAGGTATAATGAGAACACTCAAACTTATCAGGTAGAAGTTGTTATCTTGATCTTTCATACTAATTTACTGATAACTTATTCTCATCACTAATTAACAAAGAAATGTGTAGCAGGTAGAGGGGAGAATTAACAATCAGATCTTAGGAGTTAAATGGTTAAATGGTAAAGTTTTAAGAGTTCTCACCTGGCAACAGAGGTTGTGGGTATTCCAGTGCAAAATCTGCCATGATTAAAAGTAGTTCTACATCAGCAACAGCCCCCTCAAAGCTTCTTTCAGGCGTAATGTTGTATCTCATTTTTAGAGCATTCATTGGTCTGTTATAGACTATGCTCAAAAACAGTCTCTCGCCAATGTATGATCCCAGATTCATCAAACGCTCCTTGAAAGTCATTTTATGAGTAAATCCCGTAGGAAGTTGAGGAACATAAGAAATTGGCGAGGGTATCATGTGATAAAAGGCATCTGGACTGTTAGGGGGGTAAGGGAACAGCTCAATGCGCTGAATCTTGAGGAGTTCACCAATTAACGCCGCACAGAATGCTCCGCTATCATAGATGATAAGATCATAGTTTTTCAATTCCTTGAGAACTTCAGTGGAGTTTAGTGCACTTTCACATAATGTTTCCTGAATCTTGCTCATCTTGAAAAGTACCTCCATCATTTTTCCTTCCAGTTCAAGGGGTATTACTGTATCTTCTAAGAAGCCTGGTTTATAAGGTGCTTGGTAAATCTTGTGAGGTACCTTCTTACTCGGCTTGATTTTATCAAAAGATGATGGAACAACCATTACAACCTAATTGTAACCAATTAAAATCAAAGGTAAAAAAATCAATAGCTATTTATTATAAATTTGTCTTATCTTTACATCTCAACTTAATTATTGATCTCCTAAGAAGAGTTGGAGAATTTTAGGGGGGATCACATGATTTTCAGGGGCAAGGGAGGGGGTATTCAGTCATTGCACAAAGTAAAAAAAGGAAGGGGGCATAGAAAATTGACTGCTAATTATCTGCCAGGGAGGGGTGATCATGAGATTATTAGAGGGCCTTATTAGGGGGGGAGGGTCAGGTAAATTTTATCATGGCCCAATTAAAATCCTCCGACCCCTCCCAAGAGATAAATAATGATTGATCCCTAAAGCCTGTTACTAAATAATTGCATATTGTCTACCTTAGTCAGATACTGCCTATAGGGTTTTTAGAATATCTCCATCAATCTTCAACAAATGAAGCATTAGAACTGAAGTAACGATATGCAATTACTAAACTTAATTTTAACCGCTCAGTGCCGAAACTCATAGTCCTTCATCCATCATAAGGTACTCAGAAATCTAACCTCGAATTTTCCGTCAGGAAGTACCCTTTGATAGCGACCAAACAAAGAACAAGTTTCAAATCCTGTTTTGAGAGGGGAATATAGGAGACTTGGGAAATTAATAAATGAATCGTTTGAAGAGAATTCATCGGGATTTTTGGCCACAGAGGGAACGTAAACAAACTGATTAACAACACCTGTTCCACTTGTCGATCTCTGGGGCAGATATCACACATGTAATAAACTTGAAATGGTTAAAGCAAGGCAGCTGTTTCCGGTGTAAAATTAATTTGATTCCAACCACCAACATTAAAAAAATTAATTACCACGATAATTTCTCTGCCTTGCTAAAATAACAGTATCATGCAAAATAGAAGAACACAGCACGCGACCTCGTGTCCACGAGTTGCTAACTCTTCTAGAATGTTTCTGGTGTTTATGTACTGTGATCCTCCTGTAGTATGGAAACCAGCTATTCGCGCTGAAAAAGCTGAGTTAATTTCTAGCGTAAGAGCTAAAAGTGCCAAAAAAGCGTAGTAAGCAGGATTGGGCATCCTTATCAAAACAGTCGCCACCTTGGAGTACTTTCTCGTTCCCAGACTCTGAGCTTCCATCGACAGCTAGATGAGTTTCGCTCTGTGGCTAGGTAAAGAAAAGAAAGATCTGCATTGGTGTTAATTTTTCTGTTAAAATGAATCGCGAACTCAAGAAATGATTAATTTTCTTGTAATTATGGTGTTCTAGGCTATAATGTCTCAGGTTATGATATTTTAGACTGCCCCAGTCCTGGAAACACGCCAACGTACGTTGCCCTTATTCCTGAGCAGACCCCCTGTTTACGACGTAAACAGGCACTTTTAAGTGGTCTTCAAAGACCAATTCCACTTAAAAGGCCAATTCCACCTACACCTATCCTTTTCAAATTGACTAACGATTTCGTGGTTGATCGTTATGTCAAACCTTTTAGGCTCGATAAGGTCGACCCGAGGAAGTTTAGCATCGTTCCCAGTTCAAGTATCACCGAAGCCTGGTTGATATGAGTCATACCTGGTACAGTGCCACAGACGGTAATGAGGCTACTGTAAGGGTAATTCTTTTTCACTTTAAAAACACTTTTGACCTCATCGTCGACCGGATACTGGTCTTGAAGTTAGGCACAAGCCTGCATTCAACCAGCTGCGACGCACCAAGGTGAGGAAGTCGGTGATCCAAGAGATGTGCGCAAACAGCCACGACTGCTTTTCAGAATGGGGCTGTTGACAAGTGTTGACATCCTAGCAAACCGTGCGTTCGTGGATAACTTTTAACTAAACAAGACGAAATGCAAGGAATTGCGTATAAAGTTCAACATTAACAACACCACTTAACATTCAGAAAAAATCTGAAACCTATCTTTCTGCGCTCCAATAAACTGATATTTTAGCATGATTAATTAACCCTTTCACTCCCAAGAACGGATCTCATTAGTAGTTCTCCTTACTGTCTGCCCTACGATTCATATGTTGTAACTTTGGAGAATTTGGTATTGGATCAACTGATAATCCCCTAATTGATATTTTTCTTTATTCTCATCACTTGTCTGGATGAAGTTATATTGAGATTGTAAGGAGAAATTCTGTCTTGGTCACTCATGGGAGCTAAAGGATTAAGGCTAAGGAAATGATGAGGGGTTACAAGGAATATATTGATTGTTCCGGGGGGAGGTGAGGGGGTATTTCCTTGTCATAGGCTAATGGGAATGAGTCGCTGGATAGGGTCACATTTTCACGGCTGGATTGACTGTTATTACTTGTCTGTAATGGGTTGCATTTCCAACACAGTGACAGATACAGTTACAATAATAGGGTCGCGAATTTTCAGGATT